TTCTTCGGCTAAATTCATATGATTTTTTCACTGTATTCGATAATCTGTCATTCACTTTCTTTAATTTAAGGCAGATAAATTCCACAAATGTATGTGTTGCTCCATGTTTGTTGTTGATTATCAGTCTCAATGGTTCCCCTTTCTTGTGTACCTTCGGCAAACCGTATGCTACTGGAGCTATTGCATCCTTTCGTATTAGTGAGTTCATTGTCCATTTGTCGGTTTCCTCCTTCCTATTCATTTCCTTTAGTATTTCTTCCGTGCCCCCTTGATTTTAACTGTTGGGTCTTTTGTTAGTAGTCGATAGTTTGTAGTATCCCAAGAAGATTTTCCATTTTCTCTGTATATTCCTTCTGTCTATCACCACTGTGGCATCTTCTTTATTGGCTTGTAGGACTATTTGATCGTTTCTTTTCAATTCTCTATATTTCTTGGTTATATTGTCCCTATGTGTGGCTTCCTGATGCGCAAAGATTATTTGAATGATTTCCATTTTCCGCTCTCTTTTTAATTTTTCAGATAGTTTCTCAGAGGTATTTATCACCTCCATTAAAATGTCCTTGAGTCCGAAGTACAAAATTAATTCCCTTCTGGAGGATCTCTGTGGTTTCCGGATAATGAGGAACGGAATACGGATTCACTACTTTATCTTCATTTATCTTCTGGACTTTGAGACCCTTCAGCCTAGCAGCATCTTCATTTTTTCCAGATAGTTGGACATTGGACTGCCTATAGATTCCTCATGTATTCAGCTTCTCTTGGTGCCTTATTTTTGATTAACTCCAATATCCTTTTCGCATTTTTGTCTGTTGTCTTCTGTAGTTTCAGGAAATCTTCCGGGGTGTGAATCTGATTCAAATCATGCCTAAGTCTGGATATAATAGCTAAAACTTACATTATTTTCCCCCCTCCCTACTACATGTCGCATCTAATTCTTGCAAAAAGCTTAATATTATATCACACTGGCTTAATCGGAATGATATTTTATCATCAAATTGCAAAAACTAGGAGGGATGCCATAACGTTGACAGCAATTAAGAAATGTCAAATGACAAGACTGACTTGAGATTAAATTCTTAGATCTGGTGTAATCGGTGCATTGACTGGCAACCTTACCACCGTAATTAGATCATAGATATGAAGACCAAGATGGTGTGATCTTCTGTTCAGTAGCAGTTTCCTTTAATATTGGTTCAACTTTCTTTACGCAATTTGGTCAGAGCGTCAGGGAGACCTTGTGGAACGTGCCCAGTCCCGTGCCTTTTACCATAGTACATGGGATCTCCAGCATTGGACCATTGGCTGGGTAGATTCCCTAATGTTTTGCCGGCGTCGTCAGTGAGAGACGCCATTGTAAGCACAGAGTTACAACTTATCAAAGTGACAAGTGAACATAAAATTGGTCAAAGAGATTGTCTTTACTTGTCACTTTGATAAGTTGTAACTCTGTGCTTACAATGGCGTCTCTCACTGACGACGCCGGCAAAACATTAGGGAATCTACCCAGCCAATGGTCCAATGCTGGAAATCCCAAATACTATGACAGAGGACACGGGACTAGGTACGTTCCACAAGGTCTCACTGACACTCCGAACAAGTTGCCAAAACAAGTTCGAACCAACACCATACAGATAAAGGGGACTGAGACCAAACAGAAGGACATACCATCTTGATCTTCATTTCTACAAAGCTACCGCTTACTCTGTCTTCTTCCAATCTCTTGTTCATTTCTTTTCGCAAGGATGTCCTTAACCTCCCTAATCTTCCATTTCCTTGTATTTTCCCTGTGTGATCCCTTTCTTTCTACTGCCTTTCAATTGCTCTCGGGTTTAGTCTATGCGATGTGTTCTGCTATTTCTAATATCTTTGTATCCATTCTAAAATAAAGCCTTTGATCTTCCTCGATTCGTACGCTAATTTTTCTGAGATATGAAGAGAAGCTGAGCTTCAAAGTATCCCTTATTAGGTTGATACTGGCATACCTTCCATTTACTCTGATAAGACAGGTGAAAGAAATTCGTAGATTGGTCTCGCCGGATACCGAAGGAGGGTTGCCTTTGACTTGAAATGTATGAAGAAGACCTCGACTAATCGTCCTACAACCCCGATGGCTTTATGCTGATTCTTTGTCTGTCATCTGACAGACATCGTCTGAGCCAGAAACCATTATTTATGAATAATCACGAAAAACACTAAACCAAGAAAGGTGTCTAGCTGATATCCTTATTAATTGTTATACCTCAATTTGTTATCCTAATGAGGCATTCCATAATTTTGTTGGCTATTTTAAGCTTTTCCTACATGCATGTATGCGGGTGAACACCCGTTTAGTGGGCCACCTTTCTTAGTTTAGTGTTTTTTGTGATTGTTCATGAGCAATGGTTTCTGGCTCTTACGATATTTGTCAAATGACGATGATAAGCTCAGTACGGAGTCATCTGAGTCGAAGGACGATTAGCCGCGCTTTTCTTCGCACAATTCAACAGACCAAAGTCCAAGCTAACCCCACTTTGCTATTCGATATGGCAAATTAACGAATCGCTTCCACCCGCCAGTATCCGTTTGCTGATTTTTCTCCCTGCTTCGTCAATATAATTCTGTTTGCAAGTGCCTCATGCTATGCAGTAAACACCTGTGCAATCCAATTTCCCTATCCTCTCCTGTTGCTTGGGGCCGGAGTGAGACACGAAACAAAGGAATTGGCAGATGTGTCAGGACAGAATGCGAAATGCTAGCATAACCGTTAAGCAGAAAGCTTGTAAAGGGATTGGCATCACTTGTCTCTTTTACGAGTTGTAGCCTTGTGCTAAGAATGGTAAGACTCACTGACGATACTGACTACAAAACCGACGAAACATCTGGTAATGTACCGAGTCGACGGTCCAACGCTGAGAATTGTCATAGCCACTATAGCGGAGGACTTTGGACAATTTCGTCCGGCTAGGTCACGCTGACAAAACCTCCAAGATGTTAAAAATGAATTTAGATTATTGCTATTCAGCGAAAGGACACGGAGACCAAGAAAGTGGCCACAATACCTCGGTTATCATGTCAACCAATAAAATACGAATAGTTGTAAAACCCACTTAATCGGTGTAAAGATGAGTCGTCGCTTTAACCGGCTATTACAAAATATGGTAACACTCTTGCTAGGCGGTAGCAGTCAAAAATAATAATCTATCTCTCGTATGCTAAGGTTTCATCCCAGTTTGCAGAGTATTTAAACTCGATGGCTTTGGCATTGTTGAATATGATAATTAGAAGTGATCACCTCTTGGTTAGGCGTAATTTGCCTGACAGCCGCATTTGCTGTCTGAATGCCCATTCCTGGAGGCGAGGCAAGACTTTGACCACTCTGGTAGACCAGCTCTTCCGCAGATCCAACACCCACGCCTGCGCCTGCTGCCTCTCCGTGTCCTGGTCCTATTGCTGCTGTACCAGCTCCAGCAATTGCTCCTCCGCATCCCCCCGCTCCCGCACCGCCGCCACCGGGTGCTCCAACTGTGCCCCCAGTCACATTTACGGCACTCATACCAGCAAGTCCGAGTCCCGTCGACAGACAAGTTCCTTGGTCTTTGCCTCCCAAATTCAACAGATTTTCATAGCCTGGAGAACCTGGTCTCTTAGAGCCTGTCATTAATTTGCCACTTTGTCTCAGAGGAAGTGGCCTTATTTCCCAAGACTGCGTGATAGTGAGCATCAAAGATAGACAGGGCGGAAGGTAAGAACAGAATATATTCGAGGTTAAAAGTATAAGAAATAAATTATTAAAAAACTGTGCGAGAATATTAGTGTGAATTAAGTACTTTACTTTATAAACAGTTTTGAGAGTATTAATTAATTCTTTTTAAGTTAGTAGTTTGAATTAGCCTTCAAATATTAAAGGATGAAAAAGAACTTCAGTGAACTTTTCAAAAATGATCTGAAGAATTATTATCAGTCTACAACTACCTGCAAAAATAACTTGTCAAGCAAGCAAATTTGAGTGTTGGTTTGAATTTGCATTGGAAGCTTAATCGGGGCAACCATGAGGCCTTGTGGAACTTAATCAGTCTTCTTTGCTCTACCTTAGAATCAATCACAACCCCCAGATCGAACGGTTGACATGGTACATTTAAAGTCTAGTTGTTACATTAAAGTAATGTAAATCGGCATTAAGGATAGCAATTGTGATGCCCGTAAAACGTCTGGGAATATTCCAAATCAATGGTTCAATACTTGAAATTATCAAGGCTAATGTGACAGAGGAAAAGGATTGGGTGCGTTCCACATTTTCCTCTTTTTGCCAGGACCGATTTGTGAAAACGAGATCAACTTCACCATACCTAACTAAAGGGGAAATCGACCAAACCTAAGGATATGCCGTCTTGGTGTTCATTTCTGTGAAACAAGCTTAAGTATATTCGCAACTTTCAGTAATACTTCAGGAGTAAATTTATCTCCCTAGGCAGGCTAAGGCGATTTAAGGACTAGCTATAAGATTTCTATTAATAAACCGTGTAGGCTTCTCGATGTAAATAAATTTAACCTAGCCTTGCCTCACTTATTGCTTTCTCATTTATCAGCGAATGTAATATTGACCTCACTTTGGACTCATCCACACTTCAAAAAGCATTCGAAACCGGACAGAGGACGCCGTGACGAAACATTACCACTCCGTTACACCGCCACAACTACCGCAGGTCAAAGGAAAAATGTGATTTCTGTGAAAGGCTAGCCTCTGTTAAATCCTATTTAAAGTGGGAACATCCATAAGGAGAGCCTGTATTTGCCACTACGATTGACGATACTATTTACATCAGGTCTGAGAATGTTTCGAGATTATTAGTAATTCTTGAATAATACCTTAGCCACTTTAGATTGTCTAAAGTAATTTTAGTACTAATAAAGGAGTATTCTTCACAAAAATGTGAAGTATGTTTGTATAGCGGAGTGGATATATGTAGCAAAATTAAGCACGGTTCAGTTTCGAATCTTGTTGAAGTATGAAACTACCTTCCAGGAAAGGTTAGAAAACATTCTGGAAGATAAGGCTGGATAAAATTTAACCGCATAGTAAGGCCTATTCATATAATTGTGCAAAATTACACTATCAGACATTTACTCAATTTAATGGCATAGAGTAATTGAGTCAGAATAAAAAGAATGACTTCAAAGAACGTATCCAGTATTGCCTCTTCTACTATTCTTGCCATTTCTTCTTCCAGCGTAGTACAGATGACTGGATATATTCCCAGACGCTTCGTCATCATTTTAGATAGGATTGCGAGCAAAATTCTTTGGCATCAACCTCAGTCCAAGTGACAGAATTAGTCAATATCTATTGATCCTGCCGAACCCTACTAATTATTCGATTTTCTTTAGATAAAATTCACAATTTATCAACTATAAATATTGTCTCTATCGCGAATGCTTTCGAGATTTTAATAAAGTCAGAAAAGTATCATGTCTCTAATATGTCTATCAAGTTCAACCCACTGATTCGAATACAAATTACCAGAAAAAATAAATTGAACGATTTGATATAGGAAGAGGGAATCGTTTAAAGTTACTATATGCCTTTTCGGAAACTGATTTGGAAACGTATGGATCGAGCAGTGTTTGTGGTATATTGCTCAAGTTAGATTATTACTGGAATGGGTTATGTGACTTAACTAGGTTAGGGAAATATCAG